CTTCTCTCACGTGTCCAGGTGACGAGATACCTGTTCGTAGAAGGAGATGAGATTGGTAAGATGAGACCTACCCGCAACGAAGCCATGCTGGCTGTTGTTCAGAATCTTACCCTTACAAGAGTATCGGACATAGATTATTTAATGAGTTTTTCCAGGATTTTCCCTGGGATGGAGGTTAGGCTGACTGACCTATTGTTGCCCTGGTCCTCCCTCTTCCCCTTCTTGAAGATAGGCACAATGTTGGCTCTCTTCCAATCCTTAGGGATCTCCCCTGTGTCCCATGATTTCTGAAAGAATTTTGCCAGGGGTTCTGCAATGACCTCAGCCAGCTCCATCAGCATTCTCGGATGAAGTTCATCTGGTCCTGCTGAGTTATAAATGTCTAGCTTTTCTAGTTGGTTTTGCATCAGCTCAGCATCCACAGTGGGCAGGCTTTCATTCCTACCATTTCCCCTGTGATTGTCTTGCTTCTCTTTCCCCATGGTCTGGTGAAATACCAACCTGATCCATGATCCCAACAATTGCACCTTGTTGAATCATAGAAAATTAGGGTTGAAAGGGACTTTGGGAGGTCATCTAGTCTAGCCTCCTGCTCAAAGCAGGACCAGCCCCAATTAGATCATCCCAGCCAAAGCTTTCTCTAGCTGGGTTTTGAAAACATCCAAGGATAGAGCTTCCACTGCCTCTCTGGGTAACCTGTTCCAATGTTTTACTACTCTCCTAGAGAGAAAATTCTTCTGAATATCTAACCTAAACTTTCCTTGCTGCAACTTGAGACCATTGCTCCTTGTTTTGTTGTAGAAGTCAATCAGGTTGGTCAGATGTGACTTGCCCTTGATTAATCCATGATGAATGTTCCTAATCACCTTTTTCTCCTCCAAGTGCTTAGAAATTGATTCCTTGAGGATCTGGTCCATGATTTTTTTCCAGGGACTGAGGTGAGGCTGACTGGTCTGTAGTTCTGTGGATCCTCCTTCCATTTCTTAAATATGGGCACTATGTTTGCCCTTTTTCAATCATCTGGGACCTCTCTAGATCACCATGAGTTTTCAAAGATGATAGCCAATGGCTCTGCAATCACATCAGTCAGATCCCTCAACACCCTTAGGTGCATCCCATCCGGCCTCATGGACTTTTACACGTCCAGCTTTTCTAAGTAGTCCGTAACCTGTTCGTTTGCCTGCTCCCCAAACTGTGCTTCCTGGTGCAGTAGTCTTGGGGCTGACCTTGCTTGTGAAGACTGAGGCAAAAAAGCTATTGAGCACTTCAGCCTTTTGTGCATCCTCCATCACAAGGTTGTTTCCCCAATTCAGTAAGGGACCCACACTTTCCCTGATCCTCCTCTTGTTACTGACATACTTGTAGAAACCCTTCTTGTTATCCCTTCCTAGCTTCAGTTAGCCGATTGGCACTTCCACCCTTGGGAATGCATTAGAGCCAAGGGCTCTGTGAGTTTCCGAGACTGGGGGCACTGATCAGCTGTTTGGTCTGGCCACGCATTCAATTTAAGGAGTGATGGGAACCAGTCACAGTTATTACACATTTTGTGTAATACCTTTGTGGCTTATTCCCTAATTTATTGGGCCATTAATTGCATGAATGTGTGACTGGGTTACTTAAAACAGGATTAACTAGTGTAATGTCTATCAATGGCCTGAGATGCATTTGAAAGGTGTGAGGGGAATGCTATATGATTAGTGCTAAATGTGAGGAGTGCTCTATGATTAGTTGGCTGATGAACAACTGAGTCAATATAGCTAAAATGAGGAAACGTTTGCCAGTAACAGTAGATTTGCACACATAATTTTTCAGTCAGGAGACTGAGGGACAGCATATCAGCTCATACTGTCTGTGTAGTTAGTTTCTTTAACAATCATTTTGCATCTGCCAAGCACAGGCAGGAAAGTGACTATGCATTTCTTATGCCTTCTGAAGTGAGAGAGAATACTATTGTGTGTTGCTAAAAGTTTCAATGCAGCCAGAGTTTATGAAAATTTATGGGTGTGGGAAGAATAGAAGCCAGCTTTTAGCTTAATTTTTTAAAAGTTGGTTTGAAGAGTGGGGCTGAGGAATTGTTTCAGTCACCAGTAGCAATAACACTTGGCCATGGAGTAAGGAATTCACGTTCAGTTGCTGAAGGTTTTCAAGGGTGGAAGAAGAAAAAGTCACAACAGAAGTGGTGGCAAAATATGCATTGCTCTGAAAGCATTATTATCATGCATTAATGATACATCACTTCCTAACATCTATACTGTCCCCACATGTGCTATTTTCCAGTCATGCTAGAAGACTCCAGAGCTGTGTGAAACAGCACTGTTCTGCTTTGACTGATGTTTCGACGGAACAGTGTTTCATTTAGTTTTGTTTAATTTCGAAAGCACCGTTCTGTTTCGTGTTGTTGAACCTGTTTCACTGTTTCGTCCATAGGCTATTCCACACCCAGTGCCTGTGGCAGCACGGATCTTCCCAGCATGGGCTGTGCCCAGCACCAGTCCCAGCCAGCAGCACCAGCCTCCTGTCATCCTGCAGGCAGATTGGGGGCTTGCCACACCCCTGGGAGGGCTGCAGGGACTGTGTTGGACTCCTCCTGGGGCTGCAGGCCCCGATCAGCCTGCTGGGGGAGGCTGCTCCTGTCACCTGGGACAGTGCTGGGCACAGCCCACACCCAGTGCCAGGAAGATCAGTGCTACCACTGGCCCCAGCCAGCAGCCCCAGCCTCCTGTCATCTGGCAGGCAGACTGGGGGCTTGTCTGCACCCCTGGGAGGGCTGTGGGGACTGTGCTGGACTGCTCCCAGGGGTGTGGGCCCCTGATCTGCCTGCCGGATGACAGGAGGCTGGTGCTGCCAGCTGTAGCCTGGGCTGTCCCAGGCCCCTTGCTTTTTGGGCCCTGCAGAGCCGGGCAGCGTGGCCATGGCAACTCTGCACTGTCATCACCAGCTTCGTGTCTGGCCGCTCACTACCCCCCTGCTGGCACTGCCACCGATGGTGGGGGCTGTGCGGGCAGGCCCCTGATCTGCCTGCCAGATGACAGGAGGCTGCTGCTGCCAGCTGGGACTGGTGCTGAAGCCAAATAAACCTGGCTTTGAAACTTGAAATGTTTTGAAACTTTCAAAATGTTTTGAGTGCCCTTGTTTTGTTTCAAAGGCTTTTGTTTTGTTTTGTTTTTGCTGTTTCGAGCTTAAAACACATTGAAACAGCTTCGAAACAAAACACCAGGCGAAATTTTGCACAGCCCTAGAAGACACCACTATACTTCAATATGCTGGAGACTTATACTGAAAATAGGTTTCTGCTGACAATGATTCAGTTGAAATTACTTTGGTTTTGAGTCATTTTCTCTTGTGAAATACTTGGAAACTGTAATCACTGTTTGGTGACAGAAATCTCAAGCAAACAGCATAAGTGAAAACAAGGGTGAGACCATGAAATAAAACTTGCAGTGGTCAACAACTCATGTCTCTCCTGTTAGTGTTGAAAGACTGCTTTCATAGCTTAGTTTGGTGCAAGCAGTTATGTGAATGGGAACACACAAGACTTCAGGTATGGCTTTCTGTCTCAAGTAATTTAATTTGCAAAATCTTGTACATCCTCAGCCAATTGAGTAATAGTGTAGTGAAGTGATGCTTTTTTGGATTGTGGATGGTAATTTGGCTTTAAAATGTTATACTATAAAAATGTATATTGTTATAGAAAACTTTCACAAATTTCATAGTTTCATAGTTTCTAGGGTCGGAAGGGAC